AAGAAATTAATATATTCTTTAAAAAACTTAATTTTTTTAAGGTACTTTTTAGAACTAAGCTTTATTAATATTTGTTATTAATTACATAGGTCTATATTTTAATTTTATAAAAAAGATACAATTTAACTATATGCGCAACTTTAGGTTGCTTATTTAAATAGTTTATCTAAAAGTTTTATACTAGTTGTTATATTTACAATCTATTTAGAGATTACCTATTTAATCTTTCTAATCTTATATATTTATTAATTATTTTAAGCCAGATACCTTTATATCTAAGTATTATTTACTATTTTACCTTAACTTGGTTAATCTATGGATTGCTTAGGATTTCTACAAGTAGGCATAGTAAATGTTTCTAATTCTTCCATATCTAACACATTTTCAAATTAAGTTAAAAATATTTATCTGCTATAGCCAAGACTAATACTAGTAGTTAATGCTAATTATTAAACTATACAATTTGTTGTATTCTCTACCTTTGCAAGATTTATTCTGATTTTAATACTAACATCTACTTTTTTCAAACTAGTTAGTCCAATTAGATCAGTATATCTTGACTTTAAGTGTCATTGGTTCTCTTTCTTTAGTTTCTAATTTTATATCTTTTTCCAATACAACTCTGATAGCCAGATTGGTGAACCCTTTTTGCTCTAGGATTATTTTATCTGATTCTTTGATTTTCAGATTCTGAAGTTTTGGCTTTTACAATATTGTCAAAAATCTTTACTATCTTCTTGTTCAGAACTTGCTATATAGGTTTTAATTATTCTGGTTCCTTGGTTTTGTTTATCTAAAAGCTTCTATTCAAGATGGTAGTATTAAGACTAAGATAATATATCCAACCAATCATTAAATAAATATTATCAAACAAATCTTATGTTTTCAAATTATTATCAGTAAAATTTAAATTCTAAATCTGCTATTTGAAAAGGTGACAACTTGCTAACTTTACTAAATCACCACACTGTTAAAAAACTTAATTCTAAAATAAACAAAAATAAGATAACTAAATTAAAAGAAAAAATAAAAATAAAATATAATTTTAAAAAATTATTAAATTTTAAAACTTTAATTTTAATTAATATAAGTTTTTTAAAGTTCTAAATATTTTTATTTAATACTTCTAAAATATATTAGCTAATATGTTTTTAAAATATAATATCTAATAAATATCTAATAAATTAAAAAAAATATAATACTATAATTATAATTATATAAAAATATTTTTAATATTAACAAAATATCTATAAAATTAAAGTTTTTAATTACATAAAAAGTAATTATATAATATAATAGTATAATATTGTTTAATTTTAAACTTTTATATAAAAATTTAAATAACCAATAAATTTGAATATTTTTAGCTTTTTAAAATAATTTAAAATTCTATTATACACTATTTCTTCTACTTATTCTATAGCCTCTCTGTTCCTCTTGTCCTTTACCTAATAAATCCCGTAACTTCCCTTCTTCTTTCCATTTTTTCAATATTTCTTTTCCTGCTTTGTATCCTACTCCAAATATTTCATCAAATTTATTAAATTCTAATGTGCCATATTGTTGTACTGGTAATTGCATATAAAGACATCCGGGTATTAATTTCGCTTCTTCTAATGTTTTAACACTTGAAACATATGCTAATCTTGATTGAATATCTGCCATTGTGGGTATCTTTGCTTGTCGGTTAAATGGGTTAAATCTATTAAGTATTACCCACCATCCTGAGAGTGAATCCCCATAATATACTGGAGAGGTGTCTTCATGACTTGCTACATCAACTGCAATTATTGTATTGGCTCCCATACTTTTCATTACACTAACCTGTAAATATAAGATATTAATCATTATAGCTTGTAATGAAGTGTACATATATATTAACATTATTTATTTCATGGGGATTATAAATAACGACAGAGAGTATCCCATAATCATACGGGTTGTTGCCCAGTAAAACCATGCTTAGAGTATATTATATACTCTAAGCATGGTTTTGCTGGGCAACAACGCGTATGTACAGACGGCCATCAGTGACATATTATAAGTGGGAGCCCCCTCTGTCGTTATTTTCAATTTCCTAAGAAATAAATAAGTGCTACCAAGAGAAGATCTGAAAGTACGGATTTAAATATTCACAGTACCAGATTTAAATTCAGAAAATCGCGATAATGTTCTAATCGTTTTCGAACGTACTGATTAAATTATGTAATATCACAATTTTTCGGAAGTCCGGTACAGTGAAAATTGAAGTTTGGATTTATAGATTTCCTTTGGTATCACCCAATAATACAAATCTTACCGGTAAATTATCCAGATATCCGCCATCCACTAATAAATTCCCATTATCACAAAGGGGAGGTAAGAATGATGACAATGACATTGATGCTCTAACATATCGCCATGCATAACCACTTTTATGAACCTCCATACGTGACCACGTGATGTTTGTGGTAACGCAAAAGTATGATAACCAAAAATCTTCGATAAGCGTATCTGAAAAACTTTTCCAGATACCTCGATTAAATTGATGACCTAAATAGGGTAAATTAATGTTATCCTTATGTATATTAAATAAAAAAGCATATAATTAAAATATTTGCCTGTAAACCACGCAGTTAACGGATATGTCAAATCAAAAACTTGTCTCCATTTACTACACATTCGTGATGAAAATGCTTTAGCTCGTCCAAGGATCGCCACATTGTCTGATTCACGTGCATAAAGTCCACCAATAAAGGAACCAATGCTAGTACCTCCAACCATATCAATCGGAACGCCAGCTTCTTCCAGAGCTTTAATAACACCTACATGTGCTATGCCTCTAGCCCCTCCCCCTCCTAAGACCAGACCAACTGATTTTCCACAAAGACGTCGTGCAAGCCTAATAATTGAACTCATTATTATTATTATTAAACTAAACGCGGATCAAGAAATTAACTTACCTAAAAAAATCACTGCGACTTCCATTTTGTGTCGTGGGTGACCTTTCCATTATTGAAGAATAAACCCTTTGTAATCGGGCTTGAATATTCATTAATGTATTCTTTCCACTCTTTCGTGATCGCCCAGTCAGCATTGTCGATTTTAGTAAAGTCATTTGAACATGATGATATGCATGAATCCACGATCGATTCTGATTTAGAGACGATCAAAAATTTGTAAATGTATGCTATATATGCAGCATGAATAAAAATAATTTAATTAATTACCTTCAACCACTGACGAGTCGTTCCGGGCGCACAATGTCTTCCAGCATGCAACAATACGAGTTCTTTACGGGCTGTAGTCTTTGTGCCAATCAGGAGACTCTCATATTCGCCTATAGTTGCTTCTTCATCTCCTAAACCAACCAGAAGAATACAATCGGCCTACCGCAATTTCATACAATTCCATCACTAAGTTAATTAATTTGAATATAGGATTAAGTCTAATATAGCTGACACCTTTTATTTGGCACTGGGCGTGATAATCATTGTGTGGCAAATAACTATTTATCATATAAACTATACAATAATTGGTCTCACCCAGTGCCAAATGAAAGGTGTCAGCTATAATAAACTTATCCGAATATATATATTTATTTATCTAAATTAAAGGTATGGTACAGAACAAAATACCTGACGAATACAAGTTTGAGTCCACGAAGAATTAAGCCCTCCATCGGCCAAGTATAATACAATTCGCGATTTTTCTTCTTGTTCAGCAAGCCAACTAATAAGCTTCAACCTTCCCATTTGCGTAAATACATGCTTGCCCATTACTGGTACTACAGAAGCCTGATTTAATAGAGTAGCTGTTTCACCAGATCTTTCTAAAGCGTATTTCAATTTCTCTGCAAACTCGGTTACGGGAACGCTTTCATTCACAGGCAATATACAGACAGTTTTAAGATTAGTATTGTTTTTACCAAGTTCTGCACCAGTGTTTTTATGATTGTAATCCCGATCTTGTTGCAACCGTGTCCTTGACGCAATAATACGAGAAATCTGTAAAGTAATTTCAGGATGACGAATAGCAAGCGCATTGAATAAAGTCCTAGGCATTCGAGCAAGTTCAGTGTCACGAATAGCATGCAACGTGTGTGGACGGGGGGCTCCCGCTATAAAGTTAATAAATTAGTAGACGGTTTAAAAGTGCGTCAAATAATTTTCTGAAAAATCATGAAACTTTAAATGCATACTCATAACTTCGAGTTCTCCAACACTTTGACCCTGGCCATATTCTCCTACAATGTCAATAACCCGATTTTTTCTTTCATTTATGGCACGTACACGACCATTTAAAACAATGTATATTGAATCGCTTTGATCCCCTTCAGAATATAAAACTTGTCCGGCATTGACTTGAACCCAATCAAGAGCAAAATCAATTTGAAGGACTATTTGTACAAACATAAACTAATGATAAGTATGATTGAATAAATGAAAAATTCAAACTAATAATATGTTTATCGTTCTAACCTAGTGGTGATAACAGCCTTATTAATCGCTTAGCTAAAGTCAAAAGTACGTTTGGACTCCGTTCCATAAGGCGATTCAACGAACTCTTTGATAAATATCCTACGTAAGTATCGGTACTAGCACGAATGCTAACAAAGGATGGAAATCCTGTTAAAGCTGCAAGATATCCGGCAAGGCCACCGGGTTTAATCATAAATAGACTCTTGTCTTTAGACTTATTTGATGAATTATTTGTGACTGTTTCCTTTTTTTTATACATAGATTTCATGGAAGTATTTTGAGCCGGGATTTCAGAAGTGAAAGATTGAAAAGAGCTTCCAAGGAAATTCTTATCATTAGAAGTAACAGAAACATCTAAAAGTCCATCGATAACAAAAAATAGTCCAACGTTTCGTTCTCCTTCAGCAACAAGAACTGATCCTTTGGGATAAAATAATATATCAACATCATTATCTAGTTCACTAGTAAAAGATGATATAGTTTCTGCAACTGATTCATCATCAGGAATATCCAGCAATGCAGTCGCAGAGTGTTGGTTCAAAAAATGAAATGAATGTAAATTTGACTCCGTTGAATTAGGACGAGGCCCATGTTCTAATGAAGAGTTTTTATCTTTGCGGTTAGGTTGTAACAGACCAATTCCTTTTGAAATACCTTCTAAAACGGATTCTCGAAGATGCATGTCATCTTCGGCATCATAATCACGGCCATTCACAGGAGCACCGCTGATAGGTTGAACACGAGCACTCGTTGGAGTTGTCAAGTATTTGCTATTAGCATAAGATCTATTAGTGTCTTTAGATTTTGTTACTATAGGATCAGCACCAGATTCAACTTCACTTTCATATACAACATTTTGTCTAAGGCGAGTAGATTGTCTAGTTTTTTTACTTTTATTAATTAATTCATTATCACTCATGTCCATATCTTTGTATTTTTTGCCACTGCCAACATATTTCAAACGAAGCCGTTCCATACTTCCTGGTCTAAAAAAATCGCTAGGAAGGCCATAAGTAGTGATGTCATTCATTAATTTTTCAGTTCTCAAAATATCTTTTGTTAAGCCCAAATATTTATATCCAGTCCAAAAAGTAACACGTTGAAAGCGCGTTAGGATTACTTGAACGATATGAGCAACAGAATTTGGAAATTTTTCCGTTAATCTATGAAACGCTTCCGCTGGAATAACAGCCAAGGTAGTATCAACAGTTGCCCTGGCTATGATATTCGGGTGAACAGAAGTAATAGTTGGACCATCTTTTGAAAGGCGTCTTAAAATTTGTGGCTTTGTAGATTTATTTGAACGTGAGAAAGTATTATCAGGATGCATTGATGTTCCGGGAAGAGCTTGTTCTTCAGAAGTAACATTATTTGATTCATCTGAATGAGAAATCCCATGAGACTGCTTATCTTGAACAGACTCATTTTCCTGTTTTCCTGCATGAACTCCATCAATTGAATGATCTACCACTTTATCATTGTAACGAAGTTCAATGTCATCAGTAAATAAAGAAAGAATAGTAAACAAACTTGACAATGTTCCACCATTCGTAACTTCATTTAAAAGCTGATAACCACGATTATAATCATCATCCTCAAAAGGATCTAACACAATGTCTTCTTCATTTGCAGTTTTGACAAAAACCTGAACATGACCATCTATTACAATGTAGAACGACCTTTCTTTCTCTAGCATCAAAGTATCGCCACTTAATAACCTCTTTGTTTGCAAATGTCTTGAAAGTTCATGAAATACAGGTTTTTCCAAGTAACCAAAAACTTTTATGCCCTCTAAAAAAGCGCTTAAGAATTCGTCTGGGTAAAGAAATTGGGATTTTTCATTATTATCGAAGATATCGGGTCGAAGGTGGTGAAAAGCACCTTGAGTCTGGGGTGTTTCTGCGGGAAGGCGCGAATATCTAGTAAGGATCCGATACCGAATGACTAAATACCCTATTAATGAAGTTAGACTAAAGAACACAAGTAAGGTAGTAAAACTAAGTTGAAGAGTAAAGGACAAAGATAAAATCTGTATGATCCAAGTATAAAGTGTAACGGTAATATAGGAAACAAGTAAAA